TTGGGCAGCGCGCACGTCGACGAGGGGGCCGGCGACGGCGCCATGCTCCACTATGTCTCTCCTTTCGCTCGGTCGTTGTTGCTGCTCACTGCGCTGAGGAGAGAAAGCAGCGAGGCGAAGAGAGAGAAAGAGCAGAAGCAAATGAGTTAGGGTTTCGGCGCCGCGGCCGACCGGGGGGTTTTGTTCTCCAGAAGAAGATGCCTGGCCATCAGATCTGGATAAACGGATGAGCGCGACTGGACCGAAATCGGCCCAGGCGGGCGAGCGCGGCGAGCAACTTTGCTGGCCTAGGCCCAGGTTGCGGCCTGGGCGCGGGGGAGGTGCCGCGAGCGCGCGCATGCGGGCTGCTGCTGCAAGCCAGGCCGCGCACTATTGCTGCTGGGCCGGTTACTATTGCTGCAGGCCGGGCCAGAATGAATAGTAAATAAAGTTTGAAGTTTATTTAATTTTCAGAAGCTGATTTCGATGAATTTTGTCTAATTTAATATCTCTGTTAAAATTTGAACCAACGGGATAATTTTTTCAGAGAATAGTTGAGAAAAGTTTAATGCTTCTGAAAAATAGATAATGAATTTTTTCATGTTTCCGCTGTAATGTTAAAGTTAATAATCTTCTAATTAAATTCGAACCAAGAAGAATTTAATTTGAAGAGTAGTCAATTTTAATCAGTAAATTATAATATTGTTATGTTTCTGATCAACGTTGATAATAACAATGTTATAATGTTTATTCATAAGTTTTTCATGCATTAATTCTATTTCTATCCAACGGTGATGTAGAATTAGTGTATAAGAATATTATATGTTTTAATTTTGACCAACGTTAAATTAAAGCATGCAATTATAATGTCATAATTTTCTCACTATCTCTGACGGTGTTTTTCAGGACTTAACCCAATGGCATTTATCTCGCACATACCACCTCTAGAAAGGGACAATTACAGAGTATGGCGAGAGAAGTATGAGCTCGTACTTGCGCTGTCCGAGAATGACTTAGCGCTCACCTCCCCGTGTTCTACTGAGCCAATGGACCTGGTGAGGGAAGAAAACGAGTCTGATGCTGATTTCACTGCTCGGCAACGAGATCATGCAGAAGTGCGCATGAAGTATGATCTCGAGTGCAAGAAATGGAACACATCAAACCACAAGTGCTTGATGGTGGCTAAATCCACAATCTCAGATGCTATAAGGGGGTCTATCCCAGACTATGATACCGCCACGGAGTACCTAAAGAAGGTGGAGAGTTAGTTCACTGGCTCTTCAAAGGCTTATGCTAGTACATTGATCAAGAAATTATTCAATAAAAAATATACTGGTGGCAGTATCAGAGAGCACATTTTAAAGATGAGCAACATGGCTTCGAAGCTGAAGCCAATAAATTTAGGGCTCAAGGATGAGTTCCTGATTCATTTGGTTTTTACTTTCTTGTCAAAGGAATATAAAACATTTGTTGTTAACTACAACATGCAGCCCGATAAGTGAGACATAGAGAAGCTCATCGCAATGTGTGTTCAAGAAAAGAAAAGGCTGAAGTCCTTATAGGGTGACTCTGCTAACCTTGTGAAGGACAAGAAAAAGAACTTCAATAAGAATGCCAAACCTCAAGGGAAAACCTCTCAGACTGAGCACCATCAGAAGAACAATAATGCTCAAGTTGAAAAGGATCAGTACAAATGGTGCAAGAAGTATGGACACTACCAAAGAGACTGACTAGACTTCCTGAAGAACCTTTTGAAGAGAGGTGAGGATTTCATTACATTCATAGATGAATCCCTGCATTTAAGTTATACAAAATCTACTTGGTGGATTGATTTAGGTGCAACTATTCATGTTGCAAATTCATTATAGGGATTCCGTACGAGTACCCTACAAAGAGGAGAAAGAAGAATTAAAGTAACAAATGGAGTTGAAGCTCAAGTTGAAGCCATTGAAGATCTTTCTCTAGAATTAGTTGATGGTTTTCTACTCAAGCTTTCAGATGTTCTTTTTGTACCCTCTTTGCGAAGAAACTTAATAAGTGTTTCACGTTTAGACGACGATGGATATGATTGCCATTTTGATAATGGCAAATGTCAGAGTGTTTATAATAATAAATGTGTTGGTCTTGCCTTCTAACAAGATAAGCTTTATTTATTATCACTTTCTAAGAATGTGAATAATGTAAGTACTGAGAATGAGAATGCTTCCTTATCTATGAATGCAACAAATAAGCGGAAGAGAGTGCATGATGTATCTTCGAAATTATGGCACTGTCGTTTAGGCCATATTTCGAGGGAGAGAATAGAACGATTGATTAAGAAATCCATTCTTCCGCCTTTAGAATTTTCATATTTAGAACAATGCATAGATTGCATAAAAGGAAAGTATGTTAAGAAAAGAAAGAAAGATGACAAACGAAGCGTATGAATTTTAGAAATAATCCACACAGACATCTGTGGTCCTTTTCTTGCGAAGAGTGTGGATGGTTATGATTTATTTATAACATTCACAGATGACTATTCTCGTTTTGGCTATATTTATCCAATTAAAGAAAGATCAGAAGCATTGGATAAATTTAAAATATTCAAGGCTTAAGATAGTAAGGTTCAACCGTGGAGAAGAGTACTATGGTCGACACACCTCATATGGCCAGGTTACTGGACCATTTGCAAGGTACTTACAGGAAAATGATATAGTAGCCCAGTATTCTACACCAGGCGAGCCTCAGCAGAATAGAGTAGCTAAAAAACGCAACCGTACCTTAATGGATATGGTGAGAAGCATGATAAGATACTCTACCTTACCGATAAATTTATGGATGGAGGCGTTAAAAACCACCATTCATATTCTTATTCGAGTGCCAAGTAAGTCGGTGCCCAAAACACCATATGAGTTGTGGACAGGAAAGGAACCCTCACTAAACTATTTACGTGTGTGGGGTTGTCTAGCTAAGCCAAAAGTATTTAACCCAAATATAGGGAAGCTAGACTCCAAGACAGTCAGCTGCCATTTTATTGGCTATCTAGAAAGATCAAAAGGTTATCGCTTCTATTGTCCTGACAGAGAAACGAAGTTTGTAGAAACAAGACATGCTATCTTCTTGGATGATGATATGATCAGGGGGAGCATGGTAGCGCGAGAAATAAGTTTTGAAGAGAAGCGGGTATATGTGCCCACTCTTATGGTTCAGGAGTCATTCTTCACGCTACCTGTTGTTGTTGTACCATCAGTGCAAGATACTGTAGTAACAGCACCTGTTGTTAGTTCCCCTATGGCAACAATGAATGAACATAAGGAACCTATCTTTCAGGATTCCTAAGAACCCGTTGTCACACATGAGGAAGAGCAACAACAGCCTCATATAGAACAAGCGTCATCTAACGAGGCCCCTAGAAGGTCTCAAAAAGTCAGGAGATCAGCTATTCCTTATGATTATGAAGTTTATGAAAGTGAGGAATTTCAAATGGAGGGTGATCCCACCTGAATAATACTGGAAAAGCCATTGCAAACATATATAACATCCAGATTTACTTTTGCAACATCCAGATGAAACACTTACAACGTACGTAAGAATCACCTGAACACTTAAAAACATACGCTTGCAACATGCATGTTATGCAACATCCAGATCAAACACTTAAAACACTTGAAATATATACTTGCAACATGAAACATACGCTTACAACATGCGCATATAACCATTGCAACAAACACAACATCGAGAGACATGGCCCACCTAGTGGGGAACTGCGGTAGGCAGCAAGCGACACTCGGGTGTAGTGGAGAGGGAGAATGGCGGCAGCTGGGCATGGTGGAGTTATCCCTAGATAAAGTCTGGACAGTAGTGTGATTAAATTTCAAGTCCCAATCTATTATGACTAAAATTCTGTCGAGTTTTCAAAGGTCTGAACTGGTGAGTTATTTGCCCAGGTAATTTGTTTATCTGTGAGATTCAATTCTCCTAGGCTGATGGCATCAATAATAACATTAAACAAGAAAGACCATGTATCATTATAATTTGAATTGGTCTTTTCAGGTGGGCCACTTATATGTTAAAGTCGCCACCCATTAAGGTTTCTTTAGCACATAAGTGAGCCGTGTCATTGAGAAACACCTCTTTGTAGTCATCTTGATAGAGAGTGGCTGAAGCTACCACCACTACCAGCGCGTTTCTACTGCCTCAGTAGCCATTCTGAGCGACTACGTCAATCTCGCCTCTGATTGAGGTCGATCCGTCTGCGCTCTGCAGTTTTGTCAAGTATCCCCTCGAGCTCAGCTAGAGTTCAGTTCGCCGCGTTGGGGCGTTCCTCTTCTGTGCTGCTCCCTAGTCAGGTTAGATATCCTTTGATCTTGCACCTATATGCTCCATCAGCATGCATCATGTGCTTCCCCAGTACAAACCTCGGCCCAAGTTCACAAGCTCTAGCATGCGGCTGGCTACTTTAATCTCTCCTCTAATTGAGCTCGATCAATTTGTCCTCCAGTTCAGGCCCCTCTAGTGTTGCTGCCTTGGCTTTGACAATTCGTCTATGGCAATCGCAATTCGAGACTCATCGCATCTCTAGTGTTGCTGCCTGGTAAAATTTCGTCTGGTCTTTTGACAAACGAGTCCATTAGTGAAGGTTAGGCACCTTAATCAATAGGAGTCGGTCGGTGACAGGGGGCAGGTGAGATCCACGGTACCTGAGAGGCATTCGTGCCTGCGCATCTGGGTTGACTCTGCGGTGCTACTCCGGGGTCAGGATCAATCTGTCATCCATCATCGCCTTTATGCTGTGCTTTTAAGCTCTACTAATGTGCCGCTGCCTTTTCTTCCGTATTTCATCCCGCAGTCGTTGTAGCTTTGGTTGAGTGTTCATGCCTGCCAGCTAGTACGACAGGAAAGAAAAGGAGACCAATCATACTAGTCTTCTGTAGTTCTGTTCGTAGCTGATTAATAGCATATATATGTTCCAATTTGCTCACTGAAGGGGCATCCCCAACAAGACAGATAGCAAGGGCAGCAACAGGACACGATCGACAATGGAACCAGAGGAGCTAACATTTCAAGAGATAAAAGAAATTACAGATGGTTTCGCACAGGAACTTGGTCATGGATCATTTGGAGTCGTTTACAAGGTAAGTATTTTATTTTATTTTTTGCCGTGCTTGGTTTTCATAAGTAAATCTTTTGTCAATACAAGTCTCGTCAACACAGATGTTGCTACAAAGTATGCGACAAGCTTACCATGAAATTTGTTGCAGCAACTTGTTTGTGATAACTGTAAAAGAAATCCAACGCATGCTATTTTCTGTTTATCAGATATAATATAATAATAAATACTATGTGACGAAAATGTCAGATTTCTTTGAGTAAAATCATATGTTTAACAGGGATTGACTAAAACTGGAAAGGATGCTGCTGTGAAGGTGCTTCTTAATCACATAAATATTGACTACAAGCAGTTCCATAATGAGTTTAATAGCCTCGCGATGCTTCAGCACCCAAACATCGTACAGCTTCTAGGCTATTGCTATGAAACAGAGCGAAAACCAATGAAGTACAATGGAAGACAACTGATTGTTGAAGAGACACATAGAGTGCTCTGCCTCGAGTATTTGCACAATGGGAGCCTTCAAAAGTATCTATCCGGTATCCTTCTTCACCATCTGCCGTATCTCCTGTATATATGTATTTGGTTTGATATATATAATCCCTTTGTTTATTACACAGATGAGGTTACTGGACTTGACTGGAATACACGGTACAAAGTTATCAAAGGGACTTGTGAGGGTTTAAAGTATATTCATGAGGAACTGGAACAATCCATTTACCACTTGGACCTAAAACCTGACAACATACTACTAGACAAAGATATGGAGCCAAAGATTGCAGATTTTGGTTTGTCCAAGATATTTGGTGACGAACTAAAACGGACCACACAAAGTCCTCTAGGAACTCTGTAAGTTGAATATATATGTCTTGTGAACAAAATTTCAAGTCCATCAAAATGATGAATTACAAATTAGTAGTATTTAATACAATGCAGTGGTTACCAGCCACCAGAGTACATCGACAAAGGTGAAATCTCAAAAAAGTTTGACATATTCAGCTTGGGTGTCATAATGATAATGATAGTGTCAGGACGTGACTCCATATATGAAGACATGTCCAATGACAAAATTATTGATATAGTGAGAACTCGTACTTCTCTTTAAGAATATCAAAAATAGTTTTTACTATGTGGCATTTACATTTGAATAGTATCTGCCAAGCTTGACAATTCAGTTTTTCAGGTAAGAAAGTGGAGGAATAGGTTGCAAGCAACGTGGAGTGGTTCCTCACTTGAAGCATATTGCCACCAAGTAGAGACATGCACTAAAATAGCACTGAATTGCATGCAACAAGATAGCCAGAAAAGGCCCAATGTTCTACAGATCATCGATGAGTTGAATAAGATTGAAACTGCCATTGGCAAGGTATCCAAAATCATTATTTTGTTTCGAGTGAAATGTTTCTTTATAAATACGTACATTGGAATGTTATGTCAGTAAATCATTTTAATTGATTTGGAATTATGTACTCCCTTCAGTTAGAAATATTTTTCCAGTTTGTTAGTGATTGTAGTTCAGCAATATTGATCCTTCAGAATTCAAGGGCACAGCATTAAATTGCAATTTTCTGTCTCTAAACCGGATCTTGATGATGTGAAACATATTGTCTGATAAGGAGGAAGAGCAAACCTACTAGTACATGGATTTTCTTTTCCTTGAAATTGAAATAAAGCGATGTTATTCAAATTTTCATACTTAAAACTGACAGTAGGCACATGAAGCACTAATACAAGTTCTCCTGTTTGAACTATCAACAGTGTGCTGCTCTAACATCTTCTATGTTACATTTCTGTCATTGGCCAAATTGGTATACAGATTAGCTACTGCTTAGGTGAACAAAAAAACTATGTTTTGTTTGCTATGTACAACACAACTCCCTCCAACGCGAAAGTTAAATTATTTTATTGTTCATGTTAGTGAAACTTTGTTAGCATTGAAATCCAATGTACAGGGAACTACATAGATTAATATTGATTCTAATCTTCATCATGAAAAGTTGTCATAGATGTATATTCATTTGTATCTGATATAACATTATTTCGGAGAACCTATAGTTGAAGTGTCACCTTGGAAACTATTTATTGCCATAACATTTTATGTTATGTGTTTCACCCCCATTTGCAATAAGGAATAATGGAACTAAATGAGTTCATTTAATAGAACAAGAATGGAGAAAAAATAGAGGGCGGTCACAAAGAAAACCTTCTCACGCAGGTCAAGAAAAACCACCGAACCCCTGCTCCATCCATACACAGCGGCACCGTAGCCCATGTGAGCGACCTGGGCCAGGCCTTAGACTTGTGCTTTGGCATGGGATAGACAATGAGATTTTTTTAACCCTAGCCCGAAATTCGCTCCCAGTAGGATTCGAACTCAGGACCACCTAACTGACTCAGCTAGGCACCCTTTCACAAAAACTAAAGAAGGAAAGACTGAAGTTAAACTTCAATTCTATTCCAAAATTTCTAGACGAACTTTGCAAAGACTTCCATGATGACTGTTTCAAGCAATATGCATCCATCCTTGAGACTGGCTTTTGCACTTTCCTTATGTAGCAGTGAGCATTGACGGTTATATGTTGCCTTGAAGATGACATGCAAAAAGGTGTTAAGTTTAGCCTTATTGAACGCCAAATCATTTGTTTTCAACCATAAGGGCCAACTAAAGCATCAACACCAACTAAAATTTGATTTTATTCCAAAAAAAGTAAAATTTGATTTCTAAGTTTTGGTGGAATGCGAAACAACCAATAATCAAACAAATGCGACATGCTAGAGGGAGGACGAATTCCAAAAGTGATATGTACGTTATTCCAAATGAATCTAGCAAAATAAAAAATGTCTAGTATGTTGACCAATATGGCAATCTTGTAGGTTCCCCAGAAAGAATGTAGCAAAACTGTTCCTTGGATGACAATGCAAGATCAGATGAAGATGAGAAAGCAGTTAAGGCAGATGGCAGATCAACACCAGCATTTCAACTTGTTGACAAGCGATAGGTACAATGATCTTGAATCGGTTGATATACACAAAAAATCATCAGATGTAGCAGAAGATTTTATTATAGGGAGGACAGATGAGAAGAAAAAAATAATTGATTCATTAATTGAGGCCATGACAGAAAAGATCATTATCCTTCCTATATATGGTATTGGAGGAATTGGCAAGACAACCTTTGCAAGATTGATTTACAATGATGCAAACTTCAGATTTTATTCTCAGGTGTGGGTCCATGTGTCCCCGATATTTGACTTGAAGAAGATTGGCGACTCTATAATTTCACAGCTACCTGAAAAACAGAGACAAACTAAGAAGAACCTGATTGTCTTAGATGACCTGTGGGAGGATAATCCATTTCTACTAGAGGATTTGAAAGTTATGCTAAATCTTGGTGACAGCATCAACACAATTGTTTTAGTAACTACACGCAGTGAACATGTCGCAGAGAAAATTTGTACTAACATTAAACCATACAAGATAAAACATTTGACGAATGACATGTGCTGGGAAATAATAAAACAAAGAAGTGCCTTTGAAACTAGAGATGACAAGAAATACTTGACCAGTATAGGAAAGGACATTGCCCTGAAGTGTGGAGGTGTGGCTTTAGCAGCTCAATCTGTTGGATTCATGTTGCAGTCTATGAAATCTAGTCAATGGATGGAAGTGAAAAACAATAATATCTGGAAGGAATCTATTTCAGATGATGCCTCATTACAAAATCAAGTTCTTGCATCTTTGAAGTTAACTTATAGCTATATGGATTCATGCTTGAAGCCATGCTTTACCTACTGTGCAATGTTTCCAAAAGGTCAAAAGATACATAAAGATGATCTAATTCAACAATGGATTTCTTTGGGTTTTATCAAACCAACAGAAATACACTCCATTATGGAACTCTGTGAAAAGTATGTTGTCCAGCTCCTGGGATTGTCTTTCCTTCAACATTCTATGTCAGCCCCGGTGAGTTATTTGTGCCTACCTTTTTCTGGGATAATACAATTGATATTCTTTCTTTGCATATAACAATTGATAAGTAATAAGTTAACTGATATAGCTTTTGATAATCATGGCGAAAACATGCTTAGTACATTGAACCACAAGAACCAAACTTGAAACTTACATGTTGTTCATAGCAATAAAATAATATGGATGGCCATCTTCCATTCTTTGCCTTAAATAGGCATCTCTTAGCAGAGAGTTTTTTGGGGTTGAGGGTACCTGTCCTTTGAGGGTGTAAATTAGTCGCAATTTGTGCAATTAGTTATTTTTTAGTCTATATTTAATACTTCATGCATGTGTCCAAACATCCGATGTGATAGGGAGTAAACTTTAGAGGGAGGAACTAAACAAGGCTTAGTGAGTGGGAGGCTGTCGGTCATGCCCTAGCGATGTGAGATTGCTACACCACATTAGGCAATCACTGGTAGAACCGGCAGCAATAATTTTATTACTGCCTGTTCGTGGCTTCAACTGACACACTGCTGGTTCATGGCTTCAACCGGGCAGTAATAGATATGGTACTATCACTGCTGGTTGAAGCTACAAACCGTACGTAGTGATAGCCTGTTATGTAAAAAAAGTCATAATTTTTTATATGAGGTCGGATTAAGATAAAGTTTATTTCAAAATTGTAAAATTTAAAAAGATAAAACTTTGTAGTTGACAATTTTTTAATTATAGATGATTTACATGTCCAAATATTCAATATAAGTTTTCGAATCAAATTTGAGATGGTTAACAATGTTGAATAAATACAAAGCTAGCATCAAAGTTGTAGTACTTGACGAGATGTACAACTTTGCAGTTAACAACATTTTCATGTAGATCATTTAGAGTGTCAAATATACAATATAGAAATTGTGTAGTTAAAAGAATAACATTAGTTGTATAGTCACAAGTGTTGAGTAGATCAACTGGTATGGGTGGTCTTCTATCTTTGTTGGACACAATTCCGACAGTGACTGGTTAGGGGGGTGCCTGACGCGATTCCATACCCCTTCCACCCGGTTTTGCAGGTCCACTCACAAGAAGCTAGGATTTTACAGGTCACACCAACTTGTACTCCCTCTATTTCAAATTATAAGATATTTTGGGTTTTCTAAATTCATACAGTCTTTGCTATACACTTAGATATACACTATGTCTAGATGTATAGAAAAACATTATATCTATAAAGCTCATAATTTAGAACCAAGTAGTTCACCTTTCCCTTGCCGAAGGAATTTCTGACTTGCTGTCACAAAGCATCTATAGAAGTAGGGAAGCGTTTCTTGACCACAAAGAGGTCTTCCCACGTCGGCAATACAGTAGGTAGTTGTGTCCACTTAACCTTCACGTTTAGCATAGAGAACTTTATCTTTGTTAATGCGACTGAGACTCAAGACTGGTTCAGGCTCCACTAGCAATGTGTCGGGGTCGACCACTAGTCGTAATTTAGAAAATACCAAAGAATAGTATGGTATAGATGGCTTGAGCTATGAAATATGGAAGATAGGATAAATTAGACTGACTTTTATATAGAAGGTCGATCTTGTATGCAGCCGATCAAATCTCCTAGACTCTGTGCGGCTGTTCTGGGAAAATTGGCTTAGCAGGTTGTCATTTATAAATTGCACAAATTGGACCTTACCATTACATTCCTGTCATCAAGACGATTGAAACATACATATAGAAAGCTAAATTTGGAGTTTGGATAAGCAAATTACGCCTTTGGAAAGATCCACCCGGTGAGTTAGAATAGTATTTCTGCACGTGTTTTGTAAGAGTTTAGACGCTAACGGGATAGTCTACCCACCATATCAATGGTTATTAAAGTATATAAAATTGATGGGTAGATCTTTCTAGTTTTGTGAGAACTTCATAGCTTTTCTAGCACATCTCATGAGAATTAACATGCAGATTACATTGTGGATCTTTGATTATAATTTTTAAGATTTGTTATATTTTTTAGCATGATATATATTTATTTAAACGCTTCTCCTATTACTCATGTGTCTGATTTTTTGTTGTTGTTCATGAGTTGTCCTTTTAATTGTATTAGTCCTGAAAATTTCCAAAAATTCGTACACCTCAAATGAAGCAACTCCCTTATTTAAAACCTAATCTTAAGGCTTATAAGCTCTTGTTGCGTTCTTTTTGAGACATCATGAATCTATATTTTAGATTTCAACTTTTGATCTTACTAGGCGTTGCAATTTATTTATCCACAGTTAAACTGAAACTCTAACTGACCATTGTATATTTTTTCAAATATTTATTTTAATAAAATAAGATTCTAGGTCCTAGGCTACACTTAAAGTTACGAACATGACAAAACAATGTTTTCAATCTACATTGCAGCACTTAAGATGTTGAAATTGATATAAAGTATAGAGTGCTTTAAATTAAATTATTAGTATCGATATGACCTAATGTTTTAATAAAATTTTATAAGCTTGTTTAAAATAACTTGAAAATTTATGTCATAGTATATTTAGATAATTTAAAGTGATCTGCAAGTGCCATTGATATGTGTTTTGTTAATAGAACAATTTTCAAGCTTGAGAAGCTAATAAAATAAATATTCATCCTAATGTATGCAAGTTACTTGGTGTACATTAGTAGCACTAGCACATAACAGTACGCTAATTTAACGGAGGTAAAAGTGTGTGGTTTATGATTCTAGGATTATTCTAAACAGTAGTTTTTATTAGTATTTATGTGTAGATTTGAGGATACTTTAGCTTGTTTTTCTCATAATTATAGTCATAGATGTGGACAATTTAGATGTAAAATAACATGTTAATTTATATTATCTTTGCAATGGCATATGTGTTATTTTAAATGCAAACTTACGGTTTCATATAAGTTATTTTTTTGTAATATTAGAGTGAGTACTTTGTATACAAATTTGTCTATTATTTGAGGTTAAATTTTATAATGTCGGAAGTGGGTAATTTATACAAAAAATTAGGGGGTTTTTTTAAATATATTTTGTAATGGCAGATGTTATTAATTTAGGTTCAAATGTGGGGGTTATATTAAATTATCTTTCATAATGACATAGGCGAATAATTTTAATGCAAATTTAGGGGTTACTTTTATAATTTCTTTATAATAGCAACGGTGGGTGATTTTTAAGACAGAGTAGATCCAATGGTTGTTATTGGATATAAGAATGTATCAATTAAAGGGCAGAAGTTTACTGTGGGAATTTCAAGAATTTATCTTTTCTCTAGCATATCTCATGCGTATCAATGTAATGATTTCTTTGAAGCTTACTTGTAATAGTAAGATAAGATTGACAAACGTGACCCTTGTATGTACTTTCAATGCAGACTTATGAAGGAGCATATCGTGAAAAACAAGACACATTGTTCACAATGCACGACCTGGTGCATGACTTGGCAGTTTTACTCCTTGGCGATGAAATTATGGATCAGAGGCAGCAAGGCAATACTTTGTCAAGCAGCTGCCGATATGCGTTGCTCACTGATTCTAGCAAACCACTGGAGTTATGCTTGTCATCTTGTGCAAGGCTAACAGCACTCCGTTTTATTGACTGCCGCAGAACTGAACTGTGTGGTGCTGCATTTGCACCTGCTAACTTCCTGCGAGTATTGGATTTAAGGGAGTGCCATATACAGAAATTACCAGAATCTATTGGTCAGTTACAGCAGTTGAGCTATCTAAAGGCTCCTGAAATCCAAGATCAATTGATACCCGATTGTATCACCCAGCTCTCAAAATTAAATTACCTTTACATTAGTGGATCTGAGATCTCAGCACTTCCAGAGTCAATTGGAGAAATGGCAGGTCTTGTGCATCTCGATATATCATTCTGTTCAGAAATAGAACAATTACCATTGTCCTTCAGGAATTTGGAAAATTTGGTGCATCTGGATTTGTCACACTGTTCACTTATCACTGGTGTATCAGAATCACTGGGAAGCCTCAGGCGACTGCAACATTTGGACCTGAGATGGTGCACAAGTATTGGAGAAGAGCTGCCAGGAGCATTGGGCAGCCTCACAGAACTGCAATATTTGAACTTATCACACTGCTCTTACCTTGAAGTTCCTGACGCTGAGGTCTTGGGCAATCTAAACAAACTCAAGTATTTGAACCTATCTTCAGCATCATCACCGCTGAGAAGACTTCCAGAATCTTTGGGGAGCTTCACTGAACTGGAGTATTTGAACTTATCAGGCTGTCGACAACTAGAAGAGTTGCCAGCATCATTTGGGAAGCTCTGTAGTCTGGTGCATCTTAATTTGTCATATTGTTGGTGTCTAAATAATATATGGGATGCTTTGAGGGACCTTACCAAACTGCAGTGTCTGGAGTTACATCAATGTTCTATTGATGTGTTTAGACAAAGGCAACACGTGAGCTCCAAATTCTTACATGAAGCCATGAGCAATCTCACTGAACTCCGCTTTTTAAGTTTATCAGATTCGCTGTATTTGTTCTCTGGAGGCCAGTCAGTATGCGACAGTTTTCTGGGGTGGATCAGTAACTTCACCAATCTGGAGCAACTGGATTTGTCTTCTAATAATGAACTTCACATTCTACCTGATGCGTTTGGTGAGCTGAAGAAGCTGCACACACTAGACCTCTCGTATTGCTGCAACCTACTGTGGCTGCCCAAAAGTATATCTGAGATTGACAGCCTGAAGTTTCTACATATCATGCTTTGCAATAAATTGGATAAGACCACGTTACCTCAATTCAAGAGGAGAGAAGTTATATTACCACACTTTGTGGTCCGTACTGGTGATGGCGAACCTAGCAGCAATCTTGTTCTGCTCAAAGATGAGGATCCCACTGACTTGGAGATCAGCAGGCTTGAAAATGTGAAGTCCGTTGAGGAGGCCCAAATGATAAAACTGTTGGATAAAAGAACGATCCTTGATCTGAAATTTGAGTGGACTAGAGATGCAAAGAGATTTGTGGAGGACATAGGAGTGCTGACGGAACTAGTGCCCCCCAGTAATTTAGAAGATTTTCTGCTACAAGGTTATAATAGCTTGACATTTCCGTCCTGGATGATGGGCATTACTAGCTATTTACCTCAGCTTCGCTCTGTTTCACTAAAGGAGCTTCCCCGGTGGAGCACCCTACCACCACTCGGTCAGTTGCCAAACCTATCGGTTCTGAAAATCGAACAAATGCACAGTATCAGAAAGATTGGTGGCGATTTGTATGGCGGCACAAGAGCGTTTCCTGCACTGAAGCAATTTTATCTAGCGCACATGGATAACCTCCAAGAGTGGAACACGATAGGCTACAGTGATCAGGATGGCGCAAATGTGCTCGTGTTGCCCATGCTCAGCAAATTGGTTATAGAACAGTGCCCAATTTTGCGTTTCAAACCATGCCCCCCTATAGGTGGAGATAGCTGCCACACTGGAAGTAGTTATAAAGCAATATTGTCATGGGGGGGAGACAGTGCAAGTTGAAGCTTGTTTCCCCTTCAGTCTACTCCATCAGCGTAGATTAGTTCTTCACCTCCCAGCCCTCGAATTTTTGTATATCGAGGACTGCAGTGGCCTGACTTCTAGCTCACTGGATATCCTTCGAGGTCTCTCTTCCCTCCTTAGATTAAAGGTGTTCGGTTGTAAAAGCATTACAGCGTTCCCGGAATGTCTGGGAGACCTCACCTCTCTAATGCAACTTTGGATATCCAACTGCACAGGCATCAAGAGACTGCCCGAGAGCATAAAACAACTCACCAACCTCCAAGACCTATATGTTTCAGGCTGCCCCGAACTAGTTCAATGGTGTAATTCGGATGAGAAGATTATGAAGCTTTTGCGTACATCGAAGTAAAGTATGTCGACCCTGCAAAGCTATACATGGTAATTCTAATTTGTTCCTTCATATTTGCACTAACTACTTCGTCATCACACAGTACATGATCTTTATTTACTGTTTTCATAATATACTATGGGATGGGATCCATTGGTGTTTGGGGTACCTTAGAGGATTTCACTTGCAGGAATCTGCATACTTTTGTACTATTTTACCATCTTTTCCCTTAAAGGACGTTGCAGTGAATTATTGTATGCACGTATGTGAAAGCAATAATAATGTTAGTTTCAATTGGCAAGAAAGCAAGTATACGAGCTTTTTCATTAACAAATTACATGAACCTCTTGATTTTTCTTTTGTACTTTACGAACGTCCACATATCAGTCACTTTTCAAACACAGCAGAAAGAAGACAGAGATGTCTTCCTACTGTTAAATACGTGTTATCTAACCATTAACCATCCCAGTAAAATTCAGGGAAAAAAGACCTGAAACGTAGCCAATGCACATCACCAGTGAAAAGTCCAGTTGCTATTCGGCTTATTTTCTTTCAAGGAAATAAATGGTCACATCCATCAATTATGGTCAGATGAGGAATGAGGTGGTGATCTGCAGACACAGAGCGACATAGCGGTGGAGGAACATCTACAGGAAATAATCCAAAGGTATAATCTTATCAGTATCTAATCCTCCTTATAGTTCCAAAAATTTATTTGTAGTGATAGCTCGAAAATATTTTGTTCTAAAATTATTAGTAGTGATGATGATGGTGCAATGTACTGCTCGTGTTGCCCAGGCTCACTGAATTGGTTATAGAAGAGTGTCACACGACGACATCAAGGCCAAGGATGTCGACGCGCTGCGCACCCTAGAAGGTGTCAAGGATGGCCTGGTTCGCCATCTGGTGCACGAAGGCAGAAGGGAGCCATCTGGTTAAACGCAAGATAGCCGCCATAGGATGCAGGCCACATGCACGGTAGAGCAATCGTCGGCCACCAATCCATGGGCGACGGAGCCCGCGGTGGCCTTAGCGCGTCTACCCAGAGTGCGAGCACGCGTACAATATGGTAGGGGAGCCAGACAGGTCCGCACTTAGTGATACCATGGAAAGGAGCCCTGCAGCGCTCTTGCGGAGGTCCCATGCTATATCATGATTTGAAGAAGTGGTATTACTGGTATATATGGACAGAAGACGAGAAAGAGATATTACTGAATATGTGGCTTTCTTTGATACTTGCACAAGAGTTAAGGCAGAAGGCAAATTGTTTGATACTGAAGAAGCTGGGGAGCCAATGGAACTGTGCTGAAGATGCTGAAGAATTCAAGTTGGAACGACTGTTGGCTCATGACACTGGTGCTGAATGTAGATGATGATCTTTTGGATAGGCACTGTTTGCAGAACATGTTAATCGAACCAATGATCCGGATTCTAATTGCTCTGTAATATCAAGATCGATCCTCATTGATAATGTGGCCTCCTTGGGCAATTTGACACTGATCCATAAGACATGCTATCTAGTGATAAATTTTTGGCTCCTATTGCAACACACTGACATATTTTAATTATTCCTGCTTTGTGGGGAACTCATGTAATATTGATAATTGGCTACAAATGGAATGTCCTGAAGATCACATTCAGAATAGCAATTTTTATAATAATACAACACACGTTCAAAATTAAAATTATCGTAGCATTACTTTTTACCATTAGAACGCATGGGCATGGCCTTAGTATAATAAAATATATTCCTTTAGTCCCATAATTATAATTTCAAGCACTTAAATCGTAGGACATTAGGTAGTTTTGTGTTAAAATAGGAGTACAAATCCAGTAGGTGTTCTATCATTACTTGTCATTTGTCAACTAATCTCAATTAATTATACAAATGATAGCATCTGATTAGGAAATGAAGGGTATATGTGTCTTCGGTATTCTCTTTTAGTTTTTCCCATAAAATCTATATAGTGCACTATATTAGCAACAAAGGTAGATTTGACATGATCGAGTTAAACGCCAAATCAATAATGCTACATGTCCCTGTCCTGTGAGAGAGATGAAGTGGAGGTAAGTGGATGGTATGTATATCCTCGCTCCCCCTTCCTCCCAGTTCTCCTCCATCCTCACTCTTTCTCATAGGCTAGATCTATCATGCCAGGGCCGTGGTTGGCACTGGCGGTGAAGATCCAATCATCATGGCGATGTGGACTCCTCTGATGGCTTCCACGCATCGCCCCCCTCAGCATCCTCCCCTCCATCCTTGCCCAAGCGGCAAGGGGCATGCAAATCTGGTTGGGCCACTTGAATCAGGTGACACTGGTGCAGCAAGGCTTTTTGCTCCCGGTTGGGAAACCCCTTTAGTCCCGGTTTCCCAACCGGGAGCACCAATCCGGGACTAAAGGTATCCTCCTTTAGTCCCGGCTTGACGCCCGGGACTAAAGGGGGACCTTTAGTCCCGGTTGGAAACATCAACCGGGAGTAAAGGGGGCCTCCAGGCCTGGCCAGGGACCGTCACGGGGCAGGACCTTTAGTCCCGGTTGGTGTTACCAACCAGGACTAAATGTCCCTCTTTTTTTTTCTTTTTCTGGTTTCTATTTTTTGTTTCTTTTTTCATTTAATGATTAGTTTTGATATTAAAATACATTTTCGAATACGCTGCTAATAGTAATATATATGTGTACTTCGCACGCGTAAATTTTCGTTCGAATTTTGTACATAAATAACAAATGAATATACACGTACATGCATATATATATGATGATCATATATATACACACGTTATTTTATGTACATAATATGTGCATATATATATATTACAAAGGTTTGATATATAAATTGTTTATGTCCTTAGCAATTCACTCCTCCAGATTTGGCATCCACGTTTCGTTCGCATCATTGTAGAACTCGTCGTTGGGGTTGATGACCTGGTCATTTAGAAATCCTGCTATAGTCTCTCGAATTGCTTTAAGTCGGTCAAGTCGTATGACTCTTTCCCTCAACCATTCAGTCTTCAATAAAAGTTAAAGGAAAAAGTATTAATATATATATGTATGTGTATTGCTCATGTAATTACTTATACAAATGAGAGCAATAAAGAAATTGTAAATATACGATCGAAATAATATAAAGAAAAAAATATTTATATACATACTTTGAGTTGCTCTTCAGGAGTTCTCTTTGAGTACGCCATGATGAACTCGCAAACATAGTATCCGCAGTAGTTGTTACCATGCTCCTGCCTTAGAACCCACTTTTACGACAAAAAAATTAATTAGGGTGAATTGAAATCATCATATTGTGTTAATTGAATATAAATGTATAGTTATAGTACTTACTTTGTGTGTGATTACACCCAGTGGCGCTTTGCAATGTTTTATTTTTGTTCCTCAATGAACCTTTTTCAAACCCTGCTCCCAATAAAATAAAAAAATAATTTAACCTTTAATAATTATTGAGAGATCGGCGCCATTATATATATATATATGTTCTTATAGAGAAACTAAATTAATTACCCTTGTATAATATCTATCATGTCTTGATACTCCGTTTGTGGTTTTCTCAACGAGTCTAAGATTTTCAATCTACTATTGGCCATATCGATGACCATCAATATCCAGTGATTACTGCATAAACATATATATATATATATATATATATATATATATATATATATATATGTGTGTGTGTGAGAGAGGTAACTAGCTAGTAAGGAAATATTGATGTCCCATATATATGATCGACATTAATTACTTATAATAACACTCACTTGAAGTTGTAGGGGAAGAGTATCTCCTTCTTATCGCGTTGGTTCACTAAGAAATTCATGAGATTTCTCTCAGGTTGAGGCTTATAATCCTTCGGAGGTTAGGGTGTTTGTATACGACATATGGATCAACGAACCCAACATCATTATCCTTTCTCTTCCTAAGTTCTGTCATCTCATATCTGCATACATGAAAATTGTGAATATATATATTGTGAATATATAATAAAGAAATTGTGAATATAGTAGAAAATAATCACACTTATAGACAATAGCAGCTAATGAGACTTTTGTCGAGAGAGTCCAGGTGGCATAGTTGGTGTAATTCTGGAAGCTCGACATAGATAATGTCATTGCCACGGAAGTAATGATGGTTTCTAATTCTGACAGAAAGATAGATTTGTCCCGCATCAGACGCCGATATGTACCACCCGTTTAGCAGGAACATTTGCGTAACCAGTTCACCTAATTTCTCTGGGTTGTATAGACTCTGGCCTAGTACAAATTTCTTGTAAGGATCCACTTCCGGAGCAGATGGTCCTTCAGCGAGCACTTCGGCAAGGTTCAAACCAGTGTCCTCATAAAACCGAAGAAACAACTCATAGCCGCCTACCTCCTCCACTAAGTTTAAGTTTGAACCATATTCGTTAGGAACGACAAGGGGGGCGATTGATTGTTGCGATTGTTGTCCGAGTTGTGCAACACCTTTCCCTACTCTCTTCTTTTTTTGCGCCACCTCATATGACTTGGTGAGAGAGCGGTCATAGTCCGATATCGGTTGTTTCGCGGCGCTCTTAAGAGAATCCCGTTTTTTATTCCAACTTCTTTCTTAGCTGATCTGGAGGTAGGAAGAAGTATGATGGCTCCGGGTTCTCCCTCGCTCGTTGT